ACCTAGGGGGTCATCTCAATCATCCAACTTAGCAACGGTCCACTCACACTATTTTTTCAGTACATAATAATTAAAATTTAATTTCTTCAAAAATGAAAATTTGTGTTGGAAACAATTCATTTGTCGCAACATGTATAGAATGATAAAGTGTCAAATAATATTGATACGTGCGTTGATTGTACGAATTGTGTAGGAAATTACTGGCAAATTTCCTCATGCGAAATAAGACGTAAGGATTCAATGAAATATTTTTCATTTCAATTTTCCAAGTCATATTTTCAAATTATAACAATCTAAAATAAGTAAAAGAGAATCAGGAGACGGGGATTCATGGAGTAATTATTCTCAAAATCTGAAAATCTATGTATGTAGATGCAACTTATTCCTTCTTGAATCTTAAACAAAGAGAAGAACCTATTTTTTTATTGAAGTTTGTAAAGGTAACTTGTAAGAATTCAAAATGGGATTAAACTAATTCAAAATTTAACAATTTAAAAAAATAAAATCAAGTAAAAAATCCCAGAAAACCGCAGAAATGTGTAATCATAAAAATTTAACATAATATTAAACGCAAAACCTAAACATTGATGTCCCATGTTCAATACATAATCCAGTCCCGCATATACAAATCTCCTTTAGTGTTTGGGTGTCAAAATATTACTGAATTTCTTAAATGGCATTTATGCTTCTCAATAATTTAAAAACAACGAAAATGTAGAACAATTCGGTTCGGTATTGATTGTTGCATGTAATATTTTACCAAATTTTAATTTGGAAAAAGCGTTTACCACGGAAATATTTACGTTTCTCGACCATTTACAATTTCCTAAAAAAATTGTGCCACCATTTCTGCACGGTCCTTCTCCCTTAAGGCGTAAAAAATTCTGATTCTTCATCTCCTTGTTAAGTCCTCTGACCGACTTGTGCTGCAATCCATCTATTCATCCATTTCCTGTCGCCACTTTCTCCACTTTCACTTCCCCTTCTTCTCCTCCCTAAACTCTAATCCTACTCAAAATACGGAACATTGCGAAAAAGAAGAAGAATCCGAGACAGGAAATAAATTCGCAGTTTGAATTCCTCTCCGTTTTCGCACTCCAACACCAAAACTACGATTTTACAAGAAGAGAAAAAGAAGGGGACACAAAGCGATAAAAGAAACTGCACCAATTTTCGTGCTGGAAATGGCAAGGAAATTTCGTGTAGTAACAGTTAGTGTGCAATCCATCGGATCGGAATGAAAACTAGGGTGGTGAATGGCTATGTAAAGTAATGTGTATTGGGAGACACGCTTAAAAATTTTAGGGACAAAGTGGACCAAATTGGGAGGAAGATTGGTACCGAAAAAATACGTTTTTTTTGTGAAATCAATCTTGTTTTTTCGATTTTGTAAAATTTTTCCCTGAAAATGATACAAGCAAACAATCGTCGGATAACTCTAATTCTGATTTCGAAAAACCGTGTTATGTGATTTAACAAAAAATAGGTAACTGATCATAAAATATTGGGGAATTTGTCCGAATAGGATGATAAAATTGTATGTAAAACACTAGAATTAATGCGGTATGTTGGTCATTTGGATCTTTCGCATATATATAATTATTAATTTTAAATAAAACACTTCATTGGCATCAAAATTCGACAAAATCAGTTTATTAGAAACTGTCAACACCTGGTCATTTTACATTTTACCATTTCGGTGTAAAATTCCTATCGGTTAACTCACATGCTGATTCTCCGTCCCACACAATTTCTTTCCCACCATTTCTAAGAGTGTCCATACAAGGAATCGTCAAAGTGCATGTAAACCAGTCATGTACATCTTTTTTTGAATTGTGCCCATCTCCTCAAACAGACCTCCGCATTGAACTCATGTCATTCTCCTTCGATCCGGGAGAATTGGTCCCTTAAAACAAATGTCGGGTTGCAAATTAGAATTCCGTGAAGCCCTTTCAACCCGGGAGATGGAATTAAGGAGTGTATAATTAATGTTCTGTGAGCCGTTAACTGTGCCAAAAAAGAGGACCTTTCACTGATGTGTTTGAGGAGAGTGGAAAGCTAAAGTTCGAACAGCGTGACTTTCTTTTCCGTGGAGCGCAGAGAAAGGAAAAGAAAGCGCTGTGTGTTTCCAGGAATTGGAGAAAGTTCCCGAGGGAGTGATAAAAGAGGAAGAGATCGACTCTGCATGAGAGGTGGTTAGCAGGATGGATGTCCGTTTAAAAAAGTGGTAGTTTCATCGTCTTTTTGGGAATTATTGAGTGTATCGATTAACCGTAGTGGGACATATTTGCGGACAAAATGGGACAATGTTAACATCATTATTCTACATTTTGCGAGATTTAAGGAAACCTTTGTTTGAAAATGGGGGGATTTTAGTCGGAACGATGACCAGGAAATACGCATGGTTTTTGACAAGATGAATTTACAATATTTTTCTTACCTGGGTCTAAGCGACATATTTTACATGTTTACTGATATTTGTGGTATAAATTTTTAAAACATCATGTATACTTACATTTTTATAAAATAAAGAGGTTTGCTTGATCTGTGTAAGTTTGGGATAGATGTGTAGCCTGATTTTCTTTCACAATCTTTGTAAAAGTTCGCACAACCTGATGAACAACCCAGAATAAGAACGATCTGGTTTGTTCAAATTTATCAAATCAAATTTGTGTTTCTCAAAAGTTATGGCGTACTAGTTATTCAAATTTCAGAAATATTGGAAATTAAGAAAATAATTAGGAATCGGGAAATTCTAACTTGAAGGAACTCCAACTAATAATAAGTGTTGCTAGTAAATTCCATTTCATACTTTATTGTGAGAGATATAACCAAAATACAAGGTTAGATACAAGTTGGAGATTTTCAGAAAAATCAGTCGTAAAAACGACGCACCATTTTACAAACACTGGAGATCCCTTAGATCAGTGTAGATTTAAGAAAATTACGCAACTTGATTTTCCTTCGTAATGTTGGCAAAATTATGGGAACAATTATTATCTAATTTCCGTAAAGTACATATTTAATGTTTGACAAAGTTGACATACATACGTAAGAATAACTAAAAAATAGCCCAAGTACGGAAGACGTTTGCCCAATATTTACAAAACGTCGTAACTCTTATCATGGTATGTTTCTTCCTTGGTGGGAAAACTGTTGACCCGAATTCGCAGTTTATTTCCTCCCCGACCGAATTTTGCAGTCTTTCTCTCTCAGTAAGTAAGATGCATGCGGACATGTTTGTCGGTTTGGTGCATGACTTGGCTGGCTCATTTTATTTTTCGCATGATGTAAATACTGGGATCAAACTGGTTCCAGTGATTCCCGGTTCGGATCCCAGTTTCACAACATTTTACTTATCCTACTGCGGAAGAATGGAACAAGAACTCTTAAAAATTCGATGGTAAAGGATTGGGTGAAATAAATTTGGTGAAGTTTGGAGTCGATTCGGTAAAAAAAAAATTGTTTGTATATTAGCAAATAATAATTATAGGTCGCATGATTTTGTTTGGGATATATCCATGGACTTGAGCAATGGGTAAGTTGGTAATAACTTACCATCAACTTGGTGACAAATCTGAAGTTTCAGTCGCACACGGTAATTTTGATTGATTTTTAAAAGAAGACACCTGCCCGCCATAAGCTTTACATGTAAAAAAGTGTCTCCTCTAAAAAATCAAACCATTTTTTTAACGACTTGATTTGACCTTTATGAATGATGTCCAACAACGTTCATACTTACTTTTTATATGCCGCCCAAATGATGATTTCATCCAATAAAATCCATTTTTTGGACTTGCCAAATTTTTACCAACTTAATTAGCGACTTATTTAACAATTTAATTTAGTTAAATCAACAGACAACTTTTTAGAGTGTCTCTTTCCCGTTGGACGCACTGGGGTGTAAAAGCCGATGGGATCAGGATCGATCTCTCCATATATTCATCCCTTGCTCCATACTTTCTCCACTTTCTCCTTGATTTCGGTTTGGCACCCAGCCACCCAAACCACACTTCCCACCACCACGACTTTGAGGGCGAGAAGAGGCCCAAAATACGTGATTGTCTTGCACACGATGAACACTTTCTGGCGAAATGGCACATCATATCTATCATTCTCTTCACGAGATGCTTCCTACTTTGGCACTTGCCTTCTTCGCCACTTGCTAAATTAAAGGGGGTCCTGGGTCCTGGTCTTCCTGGGGGAAGCTAGAATGGCTCCTAAATTAAACCTTATCATCAAGTCGAGATGAGGAAGGAAGGAAAATGTGGTGGTCAAAGTTTGGGTGTGTTTTGGGCGAAAGAGAGCGAAAGAAAGAAAGCAAAGTCGATTTTGTATTTTTGGGAAAAATTTATCGTTGTTTTTGCTATTCTTGAATCAAAATATGAGAGATTAAATAAAATAGAGAATTGTGGTCTTATCTTCGTTGTCAAAAATTGCACTTTTTACGAATTTCATAGTGCTTACGAAGTTATCAAGTATACTTGATAACTTCGTAAGTAATTGTATACAATTACTACATCCAAGATTTGAAAATTAAAATCAAACAAAACAAAATTTCAGGAATATTTGTACAATGGAAACACTTTTTGGTATCTACGACATTATTATTTTTTCGATAATTCAGAAAAACAAGACTGGCGTATTTACGGTACATTTCAATAAAAAGCGTAATTATTGCTATAATATACAAACAATATGTTAAATTCAAGCTTTTTACTAGGCCAAAGATATTCAAGATTTAGGAATATAAAAATAGGCAAATTGAGGGTACAACAAGGAACAATTTAGCATTCTTCGGCAGACTTCGAGTTTGACTTTTTCCTTTAAGTTGAACAAATTCAGTATTTAAAGGCGACAGTTGATGAAGTATGGATTCAATTTTGTGTCACTTGATAAAAATTATGCTGGGCCTTGTATTATTTCGCTGCATGATTGAATTCGTCAAATATACTATTGGCTTGGCGAATATGCCATTTGAGCTTAAAAAGTCGTCTTACCTTCGAGTTTGAGGGTGGAAATTCTGGTCTCCAAATGTCTCAAAACCGTGGATGGGACGCTTTCGATGAAATTGTGACTCAAATCCAGCACGGCAAGGCGAGCCAGAGGTCCAAATAGCTCCGCAGGCAAGCCAGTCAGCCAATTCCCACGGATTCGCAGAGTCACGAGAGAGATTAAATTGGCAAAGGTTTCCGGGCTGAGTCGAGATAATTGATTGAATGAGAGGTCCAAGTCCTGGAAAACATAAATGCATTTATTTTTAGATGTAATGGAAATAAAGTGAAATATGCACGAAGTCAGAGAAATTATGTACTTTCTCTCAATTCAGATTTTGGAGAAAAAGACGGAAAATCATAAATTTTAATCTAACCCTAAGTCGTTTTGCGAATATGATGATTTTTGATTAATGTTTGAACAAGATAGATCCCTAAAACGGGCGGCTTAGGTGAAGCGAAGGGAAGTGCTACTAAAATACTTTCAATAGCAACAAACCATAGCAATACCACCACGTGAGCAGTGGTACCTTTATTCCTGAATATCGTGGTCATTTCTTATCCGATTTTGATTATCTCAAGGTCTATTGAAAGCTAAAAATATTTAGAAACTTTTTTTCACAGTACATTTTTGATTTAGCCCTTCAAATTTTTCATAGGAAGCAATATCACTTTTTGGAGGGTGTTTTTTGAGAATATCTCAGGAAGGGGTAGGGTTACAACCGTGCCAAGTTGGAATCCAAAAGTAGACCATCATAATTAACTCTCGGCACTTGTTTCATAAAAATCGGTTAAGAAATGGTAAAGTAATGTGGTTTTGTCACTTTTGAAAGTTGTAGTAAATGCATACTTAGGTGTTTTTTAGTCAGTAGATCACCATAGCTTCACCTAAGAAAAATGAGAATTTGCACGTAACGTAAACACCGTACCGAATTTGAGCAATATTATTTGACACTTTATCATTCTATACATGTTGCGACAAATGAATTGTTTCCAACACAAATTTTCATTTTTGAAGAAATTAAATTTTAATTATTATGTACTGACAAAATGGTGTGAGTGGACCGTTGCTAAGTTGGAGGATTGAGATGACCCCCTAGGTCAAATCCGGACCAAGTGATCTCACACCCTCCAGTGAGGTGTCAATCGATCGGTCTAGATAATACGATCAGTTTGATATATTATAAAATTTTGTGAGATAAGAATTGGCTTCGAAATTCCTGAAAAACTTATATTTTGGAGATATTCTTCAAAATAAACATTTTAATTTTCGAAATAGTACACTCGAGATTTTTAGCTTAAAAAATCAAGCTAAAAATTAGGATGACTTCATCCTCAGGAATTAAGTCTCTTTGTCTGCCTATTCAAAAGTTATTCAAGGTTAAAGTCGTTGGGGCAAACCAAAGGACTTTTGCCCCAACGATTTAAAAAATGAAAATTTTCTAAAAAATAATCCATTTGTCGCAACCGTATGGGGCACCACCCCATAGAAACGATGTCAGTTAATCGTGGAATTTGAGGGTAAAACGCCATTCATAAAAACTTTAAAATTTCAATGTTCAAATTGAATTTAGATTTAGAATTCCTTGATTTGCGCAGCATGTTTTACGAATCAGACGAAAACTACGCGATTTTTCAAACGAGAACAAACCATGATTTATGTTTTTGTTGTTCTGTCCGGTTTCCAAATTAATTCATAAAAATCGAGTGAAATATCTTGCCAGTTAAATACAAAATACCAAATGGGGCGCTAGGAAAATATGTTATCAAGAATTTTAAACTGTGTAAAGTTTGGACTTTGTGTATTTACTCTGAAAAAAATTGAATTCGAAAATACGTAATTTGTCCATCAGAAAAGTGCGATAAAATTTTAGCAGATTCGGAGAACATAAAATCTCTGAAATAATTTCAGCATTAACTCCTGCCTAAATGTAAAAAGGGTTATCTGTTTTGTGTCATCTCTCCTATGTGACGTTCAAAATGTGTAAAATATCTATAACCCCTTCACAAAGGCGCATATGCTATTTTCAACTTTTGAAAACCATCAATTATTTCTAGGAAACGAAACAATTTAAGTTTCAGAGAAATTCCAGGAATAAATTTTCGTAAAGACAAAGTTGTGAGCTTGATGGCTTAGGAAACTGAGGCCAAGAAACTCCATCAATTATAGATTTCCTTGGATGACGGGTGAAAACTGTGTGCACAAGTGCACTGTAAACAATTAATGTGGTAGTAACAAAACCATACGACTCAACCAAACTGGTAACGATTCGTTTCCTAAGCTGGCCAGCAAATTTAAGATTTATGTTAGTCCGCATTCAATTTACAGTTTTGAGGAGTTTGAATTTCATAGATAATTTTTTTACCAAAGTAACGTAAACATAAAGTGCCTGCTTGTACGCTGTCACGTCACCACGATTAATAAGTAACATCTGTAGCAAAAATTTGAACTTTCGTGGTTTGCAAGTTTTTCGAATTTAAAATTCCTAGCGGGTATGTGATTAGGATAAAAATTTCAAAACAGGAACAATAATTTGCACAAAATTCAAATTTAAGTGTGTCGTTATGAACAATTATAGCACAATAAATCCAATTTCAAGCTCAATTTGAGTTACAAAATCAGTTCCAATTCGGTTATAACAGGGTCAACACCATTCGTTGATACCAAATTATTTCCAGTGTCCTAAAATTTAGTACAATTTAGTCTTTCCCTTTGAAACGTGAATACTATGATTTTAGAAATATACGCATATTTATTTGGTTCCCAGTTCTCTCAAAGCCAAGCGCAGTAATGCCACTCAAGTCAGATTTGGAGAGAGAGAAAGCGAGAGAATTTACCATTCTCTTCTGTAATTAATTAAGCATCTTGATGATTAATTAATGCCACTCCTGTCCGAAATGGGGACTGGCAAAGAGTTCTTGAAATTGGTGAGTGGTTTCTCGTCAGCGGGAATGTATTTCCTTCAAGAACAAGTAATTTTCTTCGATATGCAAAGATTTTAAAATTTTGAGAGATTTTGACGTCTTATGATTTGCATTTGAAGAAGAATAAATACTTCAGTGATTATAAGATTCTTGGGAAGTCGAATCTAATAGTTTAATGTTGAATAAACACCTACACTAATTGAAACCTGGTACACTCACACAGATATTGATTTCTCGTTGTTAAACTTACTATTGGAATTAAAATTATACCATTTCGTAAAATTTGCTACCGATATGGAAACACTAATACTGAGCTATTACTACGTGGAATTACTTATCAATACCACTTTGGTAGAGTCATGTATTGTATGAATACAACTTGGCATTATTTTAATAGTAGATTTCTTACCGTATAAGTCATATTTTTAATGAAGTTTAAAAGAGAATTATTATTTATTCTTTTCAGGCTGAAATTGTTGGAGGTTGACGATATTTAAAAATTTTTGTATTTTTGGTTAATGTGCACTAATATTTAGGTGAAATGACGTCCACTACAGATTTGAAATGGAGAATCAATGATTGTATGTTTTTGCACTCGTATTGCATTTTGTTGTTCGTGTAGCGAGAAACACCATTTTAACTTTGTGCGATCCTTCTACTAACTGATGTTTCAAATTTGTCACTGAAATGGAAAATTTGGAAAAACAGCTTGGAAAACGAGACTGGATAGAAATCTGTCCACTTGTAGCAGCTAACTTTTACTGACTCTTCGACTACAGTCCTTATTTTAACTAATTGTAATCTTTTATTGAATTACAGACGCAACACTTTGGAAACTTTGCAATTGTTATTGTTCGAGGGATCCAAAGTGAAGTGGAAGTGAAAGTGGGGAGAGAAGCACGTGTCCACTTAAAAAGGAATTTATTACGAGAAAGTATTCATTTCTGGAGGGAGACACTCTTATAAGTTTGGTAACAGATTGTAACCGAATTTGCGAGGAAGCCAAATTAAATAATAATTTTTTTAAAACAAGAATGATTTTTAATTTGTAATATTTTTATGAAACGATTGTAGTTTTTATCTTACGAAAATAAGCATAATACTTCGCTTACAAGGAGCTAATCTTAAATTTTGTCACCCGCAGAAGATGTTTTCATGTCCTTCAGTAAAGAGCTATAGTTTGTTACCAATTGGTGTTAATCGTTGTCACCAGATTGATAAGAAACGGTACAAAACAATAAAATTCCAGATTGTTAAGAGTTTGGAAAAAGGAAGGAACTATGCAAATGAGAGCTCTTGGAGAAATAAGATTAATGCAAAACGTAGCATTTCTCAAGTGGGAGAGAGAAACGATTGTAATTAACAATTCTGGAGATGAATTCCCGTCCTTCCAAATGTTATTTTTCAGACGAGAAGACGAAGCAAAACCAGGGTTAGTAAAATTCAAGTTAAAAAATAGCACAGTCACGAAAACCCCCTCAGAAATCGACCCCGTTCAAAATATCAACAGAACTTGCCAAGTTTTGCAAAATTTACGTTTTGCTAAAATTTTACTGGAAAAGCATGAGATTTTGTTCGCAATTTTACTCAGAAAATGGGGATGAGCATTCCACATTCAAACATCCTTCGTAAACCTATCGTAAAAAGACGTTAAATCCGTAATCCGTAAATTTGCAATTGTTCATAAAAAACTTGCGGAAAAGTTTGCAGGCACATTTTTTTTTAACTTGTACAGCTCACGTATATATGTACTGAATTCCTGTATTCCTACTGGACAAACTAATAGACCAAAAATAAAATATGCAAAAGAAATATAACAATTTTGTTACTTGCGACGTCAACGTTCGCGATACAAATATTTCATATACGTATCTACGTAAATTAGATTTGTTATCATCCGTAAATTTTGGGCGACAGTTTTTCGACTTTTGTAAACTGTATAAAGTGTACAAATTTTTAATAAAATAATTTCTAAAAATTGTGCTTTATAAATTCACAGCGTCACTGCGAGTTTTTGTGCAATAATGTGGGTACGTAATTTAAAAAAAACATTATACAAGATGAAGTATTTCAAAAAATGAAAATAAGTTCTTTAACTTGCACTTATTGAATTTTACGATTCTTGTATTGCCACTGAACAACAAGTAAATTTGTAATTTGTAAGTAAATTTAAAATATATCAGCGAAATATAATAATTTTATAATTTGAGACATTTCGACGTCATTATTCTCGATGAAAATATTTTGTATAATTTCATTTACGTAGATAATGAATTTGTCAATTCCAATTTAATATCTGAAACTGTTCAGATCAAA